GTATATTCAAGGGTAATCAGGCGCAGTCAGGTGGGTTTGCGGGTGTAAAGTTTGTGGAAGGTGAGTATGCGGACTGGAAAAAATCTGCAAAGGCGTTGACAATATCTTGTGGTTTGTTACGTGGAGTTTTATCAAACATCATGGTATCAGGGATATGAGAAGTATTTTTCAAAAAATCGATAAAAGACCAGGGCTAGTAGATTTCGATAAGCGTCGCAGTCAACAGAATTACAAGTTATTTTACCCTGTTTCCATAATCTTCGCTTTTCCTTGATTTTAGAAATAATAGTATTGTTGAACCAAGCAGGGTAAGAAGTGTTTCTTGGCAATGTACATTCCGAGTGATTGCCGAGAATAGTACGAGCCCCTTGACACTTCAGTTGGCCAACTTCAGGATTTGTAAGAAAATATGCCTTTATAAACTAAACATGACGAAATTATTTACTTCTAAAACAATTTATTTTCTCAAAAACATTTTAGATACACTCTAGTCATAAAAAATACATATTTGAAATCACTTAGACCTATAACTAACAGAACATCTGAACAAATAAACAATGTGCGAATAAATGCGCGAAGTTAACAAAGCAACAATTGAAAGATTACCATTGGGTAACGTCACCTATATTTTTTATTACGGCTGAAATTCTTTGGGGCATAGTGTTAACCAAGTTTTGCAAAAATTTGGTGTAAAACAATCCCATATTTCTTGGAGCTTTTGTCTTTTCGGTGATTGTACGAGCAGGATGTTGTCGTACAACCTTTTTCATCTCGTGCCACAAAGCTTCAATAGGTGACAGATCTGGACTGCTAGAAACCCATTTCAAAAGTGGTACATCCATTTGATAGCCTTTTTTGAGGTATGGCACACTGCACCATCTTGCTGAAACACGAAATCTTGGTCGGATGTCAAACATTCTTCCATCACTGGTAAAAGCGATTCTTCTAAAAATGCAAAATATTTGTTTGTATCCACATTTCCATCAATAAAAGTTTTCCTACTTCTTTTGATGACATACTGCCCCAGACCATAATGGATGCTGGAAATTTCACTTTACTCTTCAGACAGTCGACATGGGATGCTTAATTTTTTTTGCGAATAACTCTACTGCGACTGTCACCAACACAATCTTCGAATCGGGCCTCATCACTCCATTGTATTGCACACGATTGTTGAGGTGTCCATTGTTCTTTAGCCCATCTAAGCCGATTTTTCTTTTGCAGTGGAGTTAATAGTGGCTTTTCTTTGGCCTATAAACAAGTTGTGCAACTTTAAGGTTTTTACTTCACATTTTTTATAAGAAAACTTACCTTGCAAGTGCTAAATCCCAGTTTGTGGACCTCTCTATGAGTTGTGGACCTCAAAATTCTCCTTCCAACAGCGTCACTCCACAGAGCACTTAATTGTAAATAATTGGCACGCCTGTTTTTCACGACTATTCTTCTTAATGCTCGTCGGTCGGCATTTGTGATATTACTTTTTTTCACATATCGTGGCTTAATATTAACTGAACCGGTTGCATTATATCTTCTAACAATATTTCTCACACTGTACCGCGATAAGTTGCAATTTTTTAGTTTGATTTCCCAGAATTAAAAAATTTAATTTTCAGTAACCGAATTTTCTCACTAATGACCTTTTCTCTACCCATTTTGGAAACCTTAACTACCCAAAACTATTTTAATTAACGTATTTTGACAGCTGGGATTAATAAAAACAATTGTCATGGCTTTTACTTTTCACAGCCACCTATGCGTTATAGACTTATTTTGCATTGAAATGAAAATAGGTTGATATGCTGTAATTGCAACATGTGTTATTTTTATGCTGCAAATTTGATTAGGAAGTGATAAAGTTGGTGTTATCTACTATATATTGTCAAAATATTCATTGTTAATATTTTAAACCTATAACACCCTGCTACATTTTTATTATTTGTGTTTGATAAGAAAAAAACTAAGATTTCAATAGTTGAGCCAACTGAAGTGGGAAGGGGCTCGTATCTCATAGAACTGATCACATGCTTCGGTGGTGTTACTAAGGGAATATAGAGGAGTGTAGTCTAGAGCAGCGATACCGTTATACAATGTGTGCATGTTAGCTCTTCTATAATTGTATTCAGGACTTGCATTAACGTCAAAATTGCCGAATTCATCTTCCATAGAGAAAAATATATCAAGCGAAGGATGATTAACTGGAAGCAAAATATCTGAAGCCAAGTTCACCTTCAATGCATTTTTACTGAATACTAACACTATAATCCGGTTGTTTGAGTTTTGGACAAAGTTTTGTTGAGACATATTCAGAAAATTGATCAGATTACTGAGTGCCGATATATAGGTATTACTGTAATTGTTATCCTTGATGTAATTAATGTATGATGGTATATTGAAATCCCCTAGGACAATAACATTGTCAGTGTTGAGAAAGTCCAACGAAAACAGTTGTTCTATCAGAGAATCATATGTAACAACTAACAAGTTAGGTATGACACACACAAGCTTATAGCTTAGGTGTCTATTATTTTGTAGTAAATTCTTTTGTAGTAAATTGTAGTACTCTTGGTTCTCTGCTTAACCTTTACGCAAAATTTTTATTGTTTAAACAACATAGTTTGACCTTACTCGAAATATCCCTCTATTATCATATTTCAGATATTCATATTTTATGTACTCTATATTTATACTTCTGAGTGTTTCTAGTATGCTTCTGTACTATTGTTATGAATTTTAGATTTGTTTATGCAGAAACGTAATTTAGAATTTGTGACGACAAGATCCAGACATTTACCCTTTACGAAAGTATACAGAATTTTCACAATTCATATACCGTTACTTGCTGGTTCTAGATCTGATGCTAGTATCTTTGCTCAGATTTCTGTTGCAATCTTGGTTATTCAGGGTAGCAAGAGCATACAAGCTCATGTATTGTACTGAAGGTTGTTTTTAATTTGTAAGTTATATTGGTTTTTGAATTTGAATTTGAATAAACTAAACTTTGAACAAAAAAAAAAAAAAAAAAAAAAAGGTGGCATATAAAGAAGGATAACGGAAACGACTGACCGAGGCAAGTGGACTTTGACCCCAACGATATCAATTGCAGAAAGTGAGCTTGTAAAGTTGAAATCCAGACGTTTCAGCCTTCCGGGTGGCTAATAACACATTTCCACTTCTGATGGCATCGGTGGTTCCAAGTCTCGATCACATCTAAAAACATTATACTCTTCTACTAGTATCATGCAGCTACTTGAAATTGTTCAACTCCGAAAGCTTCTTACGTCTAAATAACTACAACAAAATTGGAGTCAATTGGTCAAGTTGTTTTTGATAGTTTCTGATTATCCCAAAACACCTGTCTTCCGGCCATTACTACTAGTTCATTGAGCAATATACCGGGTTCGTTCAAAGCTCATTTTATATAAAAATACGCGAGTTTACCTTGACGACATGAATCACAAGCCATTCCGAAAGATAATTGTTATTTTTACGCGAAAAACGAACTTCAAGACGTATTAAAAAATTCGCCTCTAATTTTTCCGTTTACCGCTGTCATAGTGAATATTAAATACATTTCGTGTATTACGACTAGAGTTTTTATGTCAATTCATTATTAGTGACAAAAAAAAAGTAGACAAAACCAGTAGAAAAGTGCAAAACAGTGAATTTTTCTATAAGCAAAAGGTGAGGTTATCAGTGGCAGAGTACATAAGCAAACGGTTGCTGATGGAATTTTATGCTGTGTTGCCGGACTCAGGAAGAAAGTTTGGTTTTCAGTGATTGGAAAATACTTGATATCTCCGTTGAGGTGGATTCAAGCATTATCGTGACCCGGAAATTTCCTAGCAAGCCTTATAAGAGATTAAATCGAAGAAACAAAGCATATGGGCTGAAATAGAACAAATAAACCAAAGATGAACAGTATCACAGACTCGGATGATTACACTACTGGCGAAGGGAAAATAAAAAGGGATTTTGCAGAATAAATTTAAAAAAAGTAAATCCCCAGTCAAAGTGATGCAATTGAAGGAAGATATTATGAAACAATGGATGGGGCTTCTAACAAATCTCACTACCGATGTTAATTAAACCAAACACAACCAGGAAGAATGTGGAAAAGATGTGAATGCATTGTGTGAAGAAATAAAACAGAAAAGTACCAAATGAATACAAAAAAGAGGTATAAATTCTTAGAGAGGAAAACGATCAGGTAAAGAAAAAAGCGGAACAGTTAAGACAAGAAATCATCATATCTAAGGGTAAAATAGAGAAAATTACAAGTAAACCGAAGAAAAAACATTGTTATACATGGATATCCCTTAAATACGGACAAAAAAGCAAATTTGAGAAAAAAGATGGTAAGTTTTATTGGAGAAAAATTTAAAGTAGCAGTAACAGTCAGTGGAGCCATAAAATTATCAGAAAAAGTGTGCTTAGTAGAACTTAACAGCATGGACGATAAAGTGAAAATAATGCAAAATAAGCACAGACTTAAAGAACTAAAGGAAAGAAGATATATCAATGATGATTTAACTAAAACTGAACAAGACATTCAAAAGAAAATAAGTGACAAAGGAAACGAGGAAAGAAAGAAGGGTAAACACACTAAAATGGGCTATCAAAGACTAATACTGGATAATGAAGTGTGGAAATGGAATGCAGAAACAAGCGAATCAGAGAAAATGGAAAATAATCCCAAAAAACCAAGCAAAAACTGTAAAATAAAGATGAAACAGGCTACGGCAACGGAAACGAGTAAGGAATATATAAACATAAAAAATGAAGATTGCAGGATGGCATACATGACATTGGCAACCTGGAATGTAAGAAGCATAAATGTCAAAAAAACTGAGCTAGTTAGTGAATTTTAAATAATCAAAAACAGAAATTCTGGCAATAACAGAAACAAAGAAAAAGGGAAATGGGATTGAAAAACTAGGCAATGGGCATATCTTAATATACAGTGGCGTAGATACAAAGGAAAGAGCTTCTGCAGGAATGAGATGTATTATAGACAGAACATCTGCGGGATCAACAGCAACATTGATGCTGTTCATCACTACCTGCAACCCAATCGTCCCGCCGTGCTTTTCTTGGCGGAAACAAAAATCTCAGAGTCTGCACCGATTAACCACCTTAACTTCCCAGACTACGAGGTGCACTCCAATCTGAGAAAGAACGGGGGAGTTGTGGCTTTTGTCCGCAGCAGTCTTTCCTGCTTCAGGGATCTTTCTTTGGAATCAGACCGGAAGGACATTCTGTGGCTTCGCCTCAACTCCAAAACATCACCCAAATTTATTTGCTGCCTTTATCGCACTCCCTCGAACCATAACTGGGATGACCTACTCGAGTACCTCGCCGTCCAGATCGACTTCCTGAACATCAATCACCCCGCTTCAGAGGTAGTCCTTCTCGATGATTTCAATGCTCATAATGAGCTTTGGTTGGGCTCAAATAAGACCGATGCAGCAGGTCGTGCAGTCGAAGCGTTCGCTCTTACTCAAGGGCTGACCCAGCTGGTGACGAGCACTACTTTTTTCCCCCGCGTCTCGTCACACGCCAGTAGCCTGCTGGATCTCCTTCTGACCACGCATCCTGACCCTTACAGCACTGCTGTCCTGTCCCCCCTGGGTAACTCGGACTACGGTGTTGTCGAGGTTGGGTTTCGGTCAGAACCCGCTGTGGCAGCAGAAACTCGTACAGGCCGCAAAACTTGGCATCACGGACATGCCGACTGGGAGGGGCTCAGAGACTTCTCCTCTAGCTTTTCTTGCAGAGATGACTGTTTCACTGACGCGGATGCGTCGACTGTCTGTTCTTCGATAACCGAAATTATCCACAGTGAAAGTGCCTAGACCAGGATCCAACGGCTGGTTTAACAAATCGTGTGACGCTGCTCGCCATCAGAAGATCAAGGCACACAGAACCTTCTTGCAAAACCCCACTGCAGAGAACAGACAAGCCGACGTTGAGTCAAGAAACAAATATAAAGCAGCGGTTCGCAAAGCCAAAAACCAGCATGATATAAAAGTTAGGCACAGGGTAATGTCGCAGCGCAATGGCAGTCGGTCTTTCTGGACGCTGGCAAAGCAGATTGAAAAGAACTTCTCACACAGTAACCTTCCACCACTTACGGGTCAGGATGGAATTCAACTCAAAGGCCAAAGCGGAAGTGCTAGCCAAGATCTTTGCTGCCAACTCCACCATGGACGTCCCCCCCAACGCCCAAGTGCCGTCCTACACTATGCGGGAGGTAACATTTAGGCATAAAACCGTAAGACGAGTGCTCTTGTCGCTCGACATCAACAAAGCTTCTGGTCCGGACTTGATTCCTGCCATTGTACTCAAGAGATGTGCAGCGGAGCTTGATCCAGTTCCTTCGCGTCCCTTCCAGATATCTTATAAATCCGGCACCTTCCCAGAAAACTGGAAATTTGCTCATGTACAGCCCATCCCAAAAAAAGGATCTAAGACCGACCCTTACAACTACAGGCCTATAGCTCTGCTTTCTGTTATAAGTAAAGTGATGGAGAGGTGCATAAATCGCGAGCTTCTGGACTACCTCGAACGTCACAGCTTGATTAGCGACAGGCAGTACGGTTTCCGGCACCAACGATCCACAGGGGACCTCCTAGCTTACGTCACGCAACTGTGGAGTAAACTCATCCAGTCTCATTGTGAGGCTCATGTCGTTGCTCTTAACATCACGAAAGCGTTCGATCAGTTGTGGCCTCCCAGAAAAGCTTTGCAGATGGGTGGCTGACTTTATCTCTGGCCGCAAGATATCCGTCGTAATTGACGGATTCTCCTCTTCATCCCACAACGTCAACGCGGGAGTTCCCCAGGGATCGGTCTTGGCTCCAACACTGTTTCTCTTACATATCAACGACCTCCTTTCCTGCACGATCAACCCAATCCACAGCTTCGCTGATGACAGCACTCTACATGCAGGAATTCAGAGTGGCAAGCCGATCTCTGCCGCTGAGCTGGAAAAAAGAAGACTAGCGATGACTTCTTCTCTGACAAGAGACCTGGAGACTATCACTGCTTGGGGACGCAACAATCTTGTACAGTTCAATGCTTCCAAAACAGATTACTGTACTTTGACGAAAAAAAAGCGTCCTAGCGCTCGTACAGTTTCGATGGACGGCCGAGTTCTACCAAAGAGCCATTCATTTCGGTTGGTCGGAGTCCAGATCGCCGAGGACCTGATCTGGCACGAACACAACTCTTCAATAGCTGCAGCTGCTGGGAAAAAGCTAGGCTATTTGTTTAGGGCTAAGAAGTACTTTTCTCCGCATGACCTTCTCACTCTATACAAGGCCCAGATAAGGCCTAGCCTCGAGTATTGCTCACACATTTGGGGTGCTGCCGCCCCGACTACATTATCCATGCTCGATGCTGTCCAGAGGAGGGCGGTCCGACTGATCGATGACTCTTCTCTAACAGACAGACTCGGGACTCTTTCGCACCGGCGGGCCGTCGGCGATCTAGCTCTTTTCTATCGCTACACCAACGGGCTTTGCTCCTCAGAGCTCTCTTCCATGATGCCGCCGCGCGATGTGCCTGCCAGACAGACCCGCCTGACTTCGGCGTCCCATCCTAACCGTGTCAAACTTCGTACATCCAGAACTGGCCGATACGACCGCTCCTTTGTCCCGAGGGTGTCTAGATTGTGGAACAATCTACGGGAGGAAGCTTTTCCCAGTTCTACTAACCTTAGGCAGTTCAAAAATCGTATCAACAAAATTTCTTTGGGATCATCATCGCAGCCGCGGTGTTCCGGCATTTAGGCTTCTGCCTGCGCGGCTGTTTTCGATATAAAAAAAAAGAAATAAGAGGAATTGCATACGTAGGCGGGAGGCAATATCAGAAAGAATACTAGTAATTGAAGTAAGAGAAGGTCTAAATCCAGAAACTATCATTGGGATTTACGGTCCTGATGAAAATGAGAAGAAATAAAGGAAATATTCATTTTGGGAACTTAAAAGAGATGATGACAATAATGGTATGAGACATCTGGATTTCTGTCAAATACTTAGCTTAGTTGTGACAAATACTTTCTTTCAACATAAAGACATTCATAGATAGACGAGAGTAGAACCCAGTAGAGATGAAAGATCAATAATTGATTATATTTGGGTTGAAAAAATTAATTTGTCCCAAAATACGAGACGTTAGGGTAAGAAGAGGACCTGAAATAAACAGTGACCATTATATGGTAATTGGAAAAATAAAATGTCAGGAAAAATGTGAAACTAACAGGAAGTGTACTGAGAAAGAACAGAACCTACAAGTTGAGAGAACGAGAATATGCTAAGAGGTATAGAGAGAGACTTTACATTTATCGATTAGATCGGCGGAAAAGCAGATAAACGGAATGGCAATAGAAACATTGTGGGAAACTTTTAGAGATATGGTGCTAACGTCAGTGAAATCAGTTTGCGGTACATACAGAAAGAGTTCGAACAGAAAACAAAGAGCTTGGTGGAATAATAATAAATACAAGTTAAAATTAAAAACGGAAATGGCTATGTTTTCTAAACATACGTACAGAGGAAAGCTATAATGAATACAAGAAACAGAGAGGAAAAGTGAGAGACAGTAAAAAGAAGGTATGGAGTGATTTTGGATATAAACTTGAGCGTGACAGCAAAGGATACCAAAAATTATTTTATAATGTATTGAAGAGACTTCAAAATAGACAAAACGCAGCAACTGACGCAACAGGGATAATGGATCGAGATAGAATTATGATTATGGAGGACTAGATGGAAAGAGTACTTTAATGATTTGTTGAACTCACAAAATGACACCCAACCAGATAGTACCTCGGTATCTACGACACATCGAAACACGAAAATACAGAAGAAGAGGAGATAACAATAGACGAGGTAACAGAATCAGTGAAGAAACTTAAAAATTCAAAGGCACCTGGAACAGATAAAATAACAGAGGAAATGTTGAAAAATATGGATAAAACTGGAATCAGAATACCACATTCTCTCCCAAAAACCTATAGACAACAGATAATACCCAAGCAGTGGACAACAGGTTTGATTTTACCACTTTTCAAGAAAGGAGGCAAGAAAGATTGTAATAATTACAGAGGAATAACGCTGCTGTCCACAGTACTCAAGGCCTATGAACACATAATAGAGAAAAAACTAAGAAAGTTAATAGGGCCGACATTGTCTGCAACACAGAGTGGCTTAAGGAAGGGAAGATGTACTCAGGATCACATATTTACTATTATGAACTTGATAAGTAAGTTTTTATCAAAAGGAAAACCAATGTACATTGCCTTCATGGATATACAGAAAGCTCTTAATACAGTACCACGAAAAAAGTTAAAAGAGAATTTTCTGAGAAGAAATGTTCCTGTAAAATAAGTAGAAGTGATCGTGAGCCACAAGACTAACAACCGAGTAATATCCAGAAATATGATGTCCGAAGAATTCGCTACTTCAAAGGGGGTACGTCAAGGCGGAGGGCTTAGTCTCCTATTGTTTATAGTATTTATGGTTGATCTGACAAGACAATGCAGGCAAAAAACAAAACCAATTTTTGTTGGATACAGGAAGTTGCAAAAAGTGGAATTAGCAGAGTGCGGATTTGCAGATGATTTGGTGTTGGTAACTGGTAGTGTTGAGAGTCTACAGGAAAATTTGAACGTTTGGAACACAGTACTTGAAGATAATGGTATGAAACTAAATAAACTTAAAACTAAGGTTATGGCTGTGTCAAATGAAAAACTCAATATGTATGTAAGAATAGATAATGTAAAATTTGAACAGGTGCACTCCTCTAAATGTCTTTGAGGTATATTGGAACCTAACGGCAGAAACCTGTACTCTCAGTAAGACCTATAGTTGCATCAATAGGTTCAGCCACCCAGGCCTTGTCTTCATTAATATCGGTAACACTAAAATCAGCACATGCAGATAATGATTACTACATCAAAGACTCAATTGAAGTCTCTCGTCAGTTCAACAGATCGCCAATACCAGCCGATCACATTATCGCCAGTCTTGATGTGGTGTCGCTATTCAGCAATATCTATCTGGATGCATGTACAAGAGCTATAAATAAACACTGGGATGAGATAAGTCGACACTGCAACATATCTCTAGAGTTGTTCACCAACATTATAACACTCCTCTTTCATAACAATTATTTCTCTTTCAACAACAAAATATATTCTCAAACACATGGTTGTCCTATGGGATCTGTTCTATCAAAAATTTTGGCAGAATATGTCATGGATGATCTGCTTGATACTGTTATTCCGACACTACCCTATAACCTCTTCTTCATAAAAAATACGTAGATGACATTATTTTATGCCTCCCCTCCATAGGTCTGGATGGTATTGTCAGAGAATTCAACAGCTATGACCCCTACATCCAATTTACCATTGAAAAAGAAGTTCAGAACCTGTCTGTCCCCTTTCTATACACAAGACTCATTCGCACCAACAACAATAGTTTATTGGTAGACTGGTACCAGAAACCTATGGCCTCAGGTCAGTTTCTCAATTTTAGGTCATACCATAAGCTAGGGATTAAAATCAACTTGGTGAAACAGATGAAAACAAGGGTAATCAGCATCTCAGACAATACTTTCCACACCTCAAATTTACGTAAACTATCAAAACTGTTCATCAATAATGGTTATCCGATTTGTCTGATTAACAAGATCTTATTTAGTTCACCTTCCAATATTTTGCCAAAATATTTTGCCAACAATAACATCAATTCAAACAGTACAAGCACCAACCCAAACTCCAGACCTGGTTTTGCTGTCCTACCCTATATCAAGGAACTGACCCCTAAGCTGATCAGATTGTGCAGTCCTTTGAACTTTCGAATTGCTTGCAAATCCGTCCTCACTATAAACTGCATTTTTTCAAAAATGAAAGACTAAGTCCCGCTGCTTGGCTTAACCAACACAGTCTACTCCATCAATTGCAACAACTGCAACCAAATATACATAGGTCAGACCTCCAGATCTCTTAAAGGAAGGATTACATCACACAAAAGTGATGCTAGGCTTCATCCTGAAAGATGCGCTCTAGCATCTCATGTTAACACAACAGGGCATTCTATGAATTACACAAGTATCAAAGTTCTTGATAAAGAAAAACACCTTTCCAAACGTTTATTCCTAGAAATGTCCCACATTTTCATGAATAACAACTGTATCAACAAAAAGACAGATGTTAAACAACTGAGTGTCATTTACTCATATTTGCTAAACTGCGAAAAATTGGAGAACTTACATATCTCCCCAAATTTCAACTCTTCACAACCATAATTAGAATCTGTGTTTTGGCCGATTCCACCAGTAAATTTCATTCCACTCAAAATATAATAATTCTCTCCTCACGATTTATTAATAATTGTTAATTTAAATTCCCATTAATAATAATATAGTTATAGTTTATTCAACTGCCTCTGGTCGGTTTAACAAATTCTAACATAAAATTCTGAAAATCTCATCATCTGAAGTGATTTGGCAACGTTTTGGCACACGCCCACAATTCGTTCCATCTTTCAATACTGACATTGACATCCTTCGGCCTTCTGTCAAAGGGTTTCATGTCACTCATCATTCCATGACCACTAATTTGTGCAATCATCAAGTGGCTTCACGATGTAATGCTCTAAATTTTTAAAAAAAAATTTTAAATAATTTTTAATCTGTTTTTAACTTGTTCTTGTCATATTTTATATAAGTTTGACTATTGTACAATCTATCCAGCTCTCACCATGTTACTGGACGTTTCCCTCATCCTATACGTAAACAACAATTAGCAACATCCTCACATACTACTGTAAGTTGAGTCAATTTAAATTCATTTTACACTTTTGTTGCTACTGTTATCATTGTAATTGCAGCTCCTGATGATGATGGAAAAGTCCATTGAAAGCTAGAGAGAATTAAAAAAATTATAAAGAGTCCTCTTTGCTTAAATTTTGTCGAAGTACCCAACAAAAGGCGGAAGCTTTAATTTTTCACCTAACTGGTCTAGACGACAATGACCAGACCACGTCTCAAGTTATATGTATATATATATATATATATATATATATATGTTCAAATTCAAACATTTGCAAGTAATTTTTTTCTTCGCTTTGTTATAAAATGTGTATCTTTTTCGGATATCTAAGTGAATCTGTTCAGTTACATAAAAATACGAAATGTTTGAATTTGTTCAGGAGAAAAACTAAACCTTCAATTTTCGCATAAAAATAACAATTATCTTTCGGAATGTCTTGTGATTTATACGGGTATGGTTAACTTGTGTTTTGCTATAAAATGTCGTTTGAACTGATCCTGTATATTTTTCAATGGCGGCCGGAAGACAGGTGTTTTGGGATAAGCAATTAGAGATTCTCACAAAGTACTTGACTAATCGACTGCAATTTTGTCGTGATGATTTAGAAGTGAGAAGCCTTCGGATTTGAAGAAACTCCAGTAGCTGCGTGAAATTTTCGTCGCATTAGCAACAAGTGCCAAAATCTGCATTTTGCCTCGGTTTTCGGCGATATTCTTTTTACTATCAGTGACGCCTTTTTACGTGTGGTCTCATTCCGTAGGTCTCATAAATACCTAAAAATCTTAATTGAATAGTTTTTTCGTTCCTGCCAACACTTTCGATTGAATCCCGAAAAACACGTTTTCTCATTCTTTGTTGCCGAATAGAACAAAAATTGCTTGATCAATAAAACCAGACTTTACAATTATTTCGCAAACCAGGGGTATGTCCGTCTAATATGATTAGACTATCTGGCAAAGTCAGAGCTGGACAAAAGTAAATCAGTAATATGAATTTCGTTCATCGGACCATAGAAAACCAACCATAGTACTATTTAGTTTTAGTTTTACTTAAAATTGTTAACTTTCTGGACAAACACTAGAAATATTATAAATTTAACGAGTACGTTTTCTTGATCGAAATTCTTGCCTGTTTAGAAGGCTGTTCTATCTGTGATAAAGACTGTGAACACATATCTGTGTTATAGAGCACAGTAGTGAGACGCTCTCTATAATCCTCAATAAATTTGAAATACGTATTAGACGGTGCAGCATAAGAGAAATGAAAAAAAATGGACTCGACCCTCATAATTGCGATCTCGCTTGAATGGGGACAAAGTTGGGTTTTTAGGTAACCAACAAAATGCAGCTTAATTTGTAGTGTGATTTCATAATAAACTTGTACGATAACATTGCCACTTTTTCTCCTCTACGAGGTGGCTTGATTAGAATTCTAATATGTTTCGTCCCTTGTCATCAGCATCAACTTTATTTTTTCTTATAGACGCCATATTGGATACTTGCTTTGACGAATAGACATTGACAGCGCCAGAACTAAGTTATTTAAAATGAAAAACAGAACTCTCTAGGCAGTCCTTGAAATTATCAGCTAGTCATTTGTTTCACATGATCTATCGTAAAATCACTTGTATTTTTCCCTGACCTTATTTGAGATGGGATTTCGAAATAAGTTTGTGGTGGTTTAGAGATGTGTGCGATGATCCGGTGAATGTGCAAGTGACATTTGGCAACTATGTGAGGATTTGGGTGGCAGTCGACCCTGGACACGCATCGGGGCAGGGTCGCGACTCATGTATTCTTTTTAAGTTTTGCTTAGAATTGCTGTTTTTGTGAGATTTCAATAAATCATGTACTCTCTCGAATCTACCGTTATTTACTCATCGAGAACCTATCCTCTGTCGATTGGTATAATCGGCAGCCCATTGCAAGTTGCATGTTGTCGTTGTAACTTATACTCCTCTACAAGGAGGCGTAGTCAATTTTGCAATTCAACATTTCCTTTGTACTTCCATCATCAACTTTGCTCTTTCAATTCCAATTTTGTATATTCAAATGGACTTTTCACTCCTAAATTTAGTGATGTATTTCCCAGCTGACCAGGTATTTGTTGTTGGATTTTATTGTTGATAATAACAATAATAATCCGTTATTTCATAGGCAAAGCCTGACTCTGTACATTGTTAACTACTTGATTTATTTCTCTCCTTCTCAGTCTTCCAATCTTTGTCGCTAAGTTCAATTTGATGTTTGGTCTGATACACGAAACAAATGATATCCGATAATTTCAAGGCCTACCTAGGAAATTCTGCTTTTTGTAATCAGATTTAGAAACTCTATTCATCCTCGCAAAAATTCAACATGGCGTCTATAAGAAAAAATAAAGTTGATGCTGAAACGCCATATTTGAATTGTAATTATGCCATCTTCTAGATGAGAACAAGTGAAAATATTAATGTGCAATTTACACACTACAATAAAAAGCCAGTAAAAAAATAAAACGATTTACAGATAATTCTGTTTTTGCCGTCTCTTTTCGGAATTACTTTGAATTTCACAGCATTGAGCAGCATTTTGTTGAATATCTAAATATCTTTTACTGTTTCCGAGATCGCAATGAATCGCAAACTTCAGGTATAAAATTAATTTATCTTATATAACTGCTGAAACTTGTCCTCTAATTTTCATGTTCTGATTGAATTTACTTCTAGCGATTTACTAGCTTGACTGTATTGTATAGATACATTGAACTTAAGATGCGTCTTTTCAGGATTTACATTTAATTCCTTGAAATTACGAAAATGTTTAACCTCACCGTATTGAAAATGACGAAATTCTCAAACAGAAACACCACAACCTTCTTCTTCTGTTTCCCCATTCGAAATTGGTCCTTCAGTATCAAATGTCCATAACCTGTCACGTCAAATGGACAGTTCTGTAGATCAATCTCCAAGTTCCTCAGGTCAAGGTTACATTTCACAAAGCCGCAAGGGGTTGACACTTCTCTGGATTCGTGTTTTCTCCTGAAGGATAAACCCGACAATACCGATGATAACCTGGAGCTTCTCCATGGTCTGTTTCTGATTTTCACATCCTCGCGATCGTTTGACATTGCTTTCCGTAGCGTACATACATCAACTCAGCTTATCGCCTACGCCAAATGATTGTTAGTCCTTATCTTATCTTTATGAGTGTAGGGTTATAAACATTTATATTGTATTTGATTTTTGTTAATATAATGTGCATTTCTATTTGTATACGTATCTTAGTCAATAAAGGACAGTAGTTTTGTAGGGATGAAGATTCAGGGTACACATCCAATGGTTCATATCGCACGCATTGGCATACAGGGTGGCCCAACGAAACGGTCGCACCTCAATTTGTGAATATCCTGGTACATTTTGGGAAAAACGCTCGTGCCCGAGAATCTTGGTTTCTAGGGGGACTTTTCATCTATAGCCGTACATGGTGATCCAAAAATAATATATTGCGTTACACCTTAGATTTTTTAATGAAAACCCTCATTTTTTTTATTTTTAGATTTTCCTTGAAGTTTTTAGTAACCTTTTTATAATAAACCTAATCCCAATCTTCAATCGTTGTAAAGCTATATATTTGAGTTTCTAATAAAATTAGACTTAATACTGATAATAATGGAATGTCCGCAAAAAATAACAAGCATGGATACCAGCAAGAACATTTAGCATGAGTCAGTGTCATCGTGTCATAGACAGGCGCTTATCCAAGGAAAGGTATAGGGGTCATGACTGCCCCCCCAGGCGAATTTATCCGTATGCGTATTTTCTACTAAACACCGGCAGCACTGCATCCGTCAACTTTGATTTAACTGAAAGCTCATAGATGATAGCGCAAGACTGGTTGCCTATGCGGTCAGCTTGATGTAGGAAAAACTTCTTCGCGCGCGCTTAAGCTGTGAGCAAATTTGATAAAAAATACTTTTCGACGGACCAGTGGCGGATTTAAGGAAAAGGGTCCGGTCGGCAATATGCACTGCGGGGTCCAGTGATATGATCGGGGACAGACAGCAAATTGTGCGCACTATAACTGTTTTGCGAATAACATAAATTACTGCTATTATTGACAAATAAAATATGGCAATGGAAACTTTGAAAGTTGCACGATAACTCAGAAATTAATAAAAAATTTTATGCGTAATGTCATGTTAGTGCAATCGTACATCAGCCTGGTTTTTGAATTTAATACTGCGCACGGGCATGGGGCAGGTTGTAATGCGGATTGTAATTTTTTGAAGTAAATTAAACTTGATGATTCACCAGCAAACTTCTTGTGCATAATAGAGTTTAAAAGTCACGGATGCTATCGATAAGTAAAGGGCGTCGAGTCAAATTTGGAGTGCACGCTATTTATAGAATTTGCATAAAATTATAAGCAAGAAAATAAAACAAAAAGATGATCGATAGCTGTTGTGATGTTTGCCGTGATTAATATTTCGTTGAATACAAACTTGGTGAACAACACTAAAATACTTTAAATAAAGTGCATTACTACAGGGTATATACTCGGCACTATTTGCTAAAGTGATATTCTCCACATTTATCGCTATTTGCAAATTAATGACAACAACCGAGAATAAAAAAATTAGAAATACCTGCACAAGTAACCGAAACAAGCTCATGGATAGTGCAAAAGGTTTTTTAATAGTAATTTGGTGCAAGAAGTTAATCTGATGCTGCATCAACGTGCCAGTAAAGCAGCTAATTCAACTGTTTCAATATTCACGCGGATGTAAAATTTTTCGATAACGTGAAATCCATCTAAACTGTTTAGATAAAGTTCGAACTACAGATTTTGCTGGCAATAAGGATGTCATAACAGGGGCTTACAATTATACGTACAATAGTAGCTGCTACGCACTGTTACCTCTGTTTTTTTACTATACGTCTGTATAACCTGAATCAAGTAGAGACTGTGAGATGAAACATATTTTATTAGATACAAAACAACAGAATTATTCTAATTTTAATTCCCTTTTAGGGTAAAGAAGTTGTTGAGTGTGTCTTTAGCCAAAGAAGCTCGACGGTATTCTTTAATAATTTTCAAAAAGCTCATGGCACCTTCAGCACTAACTGAACCGACAGCCAAAGTCAAAAACAATTTCCTGAACATTAAGTTTTTTGACCAGTGTGACAAATCCTGGATCCGCCGTTGGTCATAGAAAAAGTTTCTTTCATTTCAAATTGTTAAGTTACCTACATAGTTGTGATAAATATTGAACAATAACTTATCTAATTCAAGAAAGGGTAGAAATAACAAAACTGTATTACCAAAATGGGAGCATGGCAACTACTGACCTGTTGTTTAATGCATCACATCCAGACAAAACTATTAAGTATTAATCGTCATCGAGAAAATCGAAGCAGCAGAAATAGCAGTTTTCGGACACGTAGCACTTGACAACACCCAAAGCACTCGTGGACTGGCCACTTCTTTCTGAATGACAATCAATTTCACCCCTACAAGATAAAAAGCAAATCTGTTATTTAATATTTTTTTTTTATTCAACAATCCGCTTCGACCCATAGATCATTAGCAGGGAGTAGATTAAATCTTCTACATGAGTCCATATGCCTTAAGGTAACTTGTAAGGTTTGTGATATCACAGTGTGGTCCTAGATTGTCAGTCAGTGTACTATTTAATCTATACATAAACTTATACACTTCTAGCACTGGGCACTCAATTAAGTAAGTGCTTCACTGTTAATTGCACGTCACACATCTCACATTGCGGCACAGGTTCCTGAGACAGCAGGTGACTATGGGTGGCTCGTGTGTGTCCTAGTCTTAGTCGTGTGATGATGGTTTGAATTTTGCGGTTGTTGGTGACGGTTTGCCATGGAGCGAAGTTAGGTTTAAGTTCCAGCAATTTGGATGGCCTGCTCTGCCACATATTGGATGACCTTAGATTTTAAATGAGCTCTTGCATCATACTCTGGTACTTTATCAACGTGTTTGGTAGAGTTGTTGGCAGCATCTTTTACTTTGCGGTCTGCCAATTCATTTCCTGGAACTCCAACGTGTGACGGGACCCATAGGAATACCATGCTTTTGTGTCCTGTAATACGGTTAATTTCATCTCGAATTCTTTGGGCTATGGTGTTCTTATTATACATAGTGTTTATTAGCATGAGTGAACTCAGTGAATCTGATATAATTAGCCAATTGTTAACTGAGCTTTCTTTAATGTACTTGACTGTTTCAAATATGGCGTATAGTTCTTCTGTAAGCACTGTAGCTGATTCTGGTAGCTTGCATTGTATAATGGATGTTGGAGTTATGACAGCAGCGCCAACGCAGGTTTGTAATTTAGAAGCATCTGTATACAGGGTGACTTTGAAGTTGAGTCATTAATTTTCAGATAATGATTGTAGAAGGAAGATAAACCAAAATATGTGTGTAAAAATAAAAAAAAATAAAAAAAAAATGTTACCTTGTTTTATAAAGTATCCTCCTGACAAGTATTTCAGTGCGGACCTGTATTTGATCGTGCGGTCTTGGAGCACCGGCATGCCCTCCCCTGTGAGGTCTTAAGTCACCTGATTCACGAGCCCTTTGTACTACATTAACAAAGGCACGAGGGGTTGGTTGCACTCGACTGGGAAACCGATCCGCATAAATCCGTGATGCCGCGTAAATAAGAATCATGTCCACAAGTTCAGCATTTTCGTAAACATGTGCCATTTTTGATTTTGTTTGAGCCACGCAACAGACACCACTATTTACTCACGTTACCGACTGACACTGACTGTATACAACTGAATAAAATAATTGTAAAAACATCGTTCCAAATTCTTTCGCTTTTTTGTTTCCGATGTGATGAACCGAGAAGGCGGATTATATCCGTTGTTGCGAAACACGAGCATATAATATTATTATTGAGACAGGGCGGTACTCAAACTTCCAAACGGCTATAACTTTGTTACTTTAATTTTACCAGAAAAATGGTAAAGAAAAAAAACATTTCTTTTGATCAGATCTACTCACTGTTAAAATAAATGACTCAACTTCGAAGTCACCCTGTATATTTCACTATAGTTACTAAGCTGATTGCGGATTTCGAAGAATTTTTGGTAGATAATTTCTCTTGGTGTTTCTTCTTTGCTCAATTTTAGCATTGTGCGGTTGATTACAGGTGTTTGAATGGTCCAGAGAGGGCTGGTTGAGTGAGTGGAGGTAATAGTAGGAGGAAGTGTAGGCATACGTAGTTGATTTAGATACTGCTTTATTGTATAGTGGAAACCTGTGGAATTTTGGCGATAGGCAATTGTGTGACTGAATCCTGGGGTTAGAAGCAAGTTTAGTTGCGTACTGTAGACACAGAACTTGTTTTCTAACATACAGTGGGGCTTCTTCAGACTCACAGCAGGAACTATCTTATTTTATTCTATTTTTTATTTTATTCATTACAACACCCTACAGTAAATACCAATTACAGGGTGAGGAAACACAGAACATAACACAGATATAAAAGACAATAATAAGTAATAAGTAATAGACTACAAAGTGTAAAAGATACATGCTGGTTACTTAATAGTATTTTTTATGTCTGCAATTCTGCAGTTAAATATATCAATCCTGTTACTTGCAGAATTGTAATTCCTACACATCACATGTAAAGGGGAATAGTGTAAATAATTTGTCCGTGCCGCAGGTAGATAAAACGTCACGTTTTGTCGGGATGTCAGCCTAGGTACGTTAAATGATAACTGACCCAAGAAAGCTAAATCATCACTAGCATTATTGATCAACTTAAATAGAAAAATCACTGACTGGCAAGTGCGCCTTGCTTCAAGACTGCTGATTAGATGTTTTTCAAGTAAGGAATCATGAGGTATACCTATGGGCGGGTAAACGCCATCCACTTTCAGTGACAAATATTTTAAGAAACGTCTTTGAACACATTCAAGCCTACTTATATGAATAATATGATGCGGATTCCAAATTAGCAATGCATACTCAAGCTTCGACCTAACATATGCATAATACAGCAACTTCAAGGTGGTACTCTGAGTGAAGTCACGGCAGTTTCTTACAATAAAGCCGTACATGCGGTTTGCCTCGGAAATTTTGCTGTCAATGTGTTTGACGAATGTTAGTTGGGAGTCA